TGTGTGTGTGTGTACATAAATATACATATACGAACATATACGTATATATATGTATATGTATATATATATATATATATATATATATATATATATATATATATGCAAACACACGCATATACTTATATATATTACATATATGTATGTATATATATACATAAATACACACATACATACTATTAAAGTAAAGTCAATCAATTAATACATAATTAGTAAAAATGCTACTGTTGGCTACGGTAACTAGACAGTTCCTACAGTAGCGGTCGTCCCCTCCTCCCCCCCTCACCGTCTTGTTCCTGGGGGGGTTGCCAGGGGCACTCCTCCACTGCCATAGGCCAGGGCAAGATCTCTCTGCCATTTTGCTGTTTTACTCGGTTGGCATTTTTTTTTTTTTTTTTTCGGTTTGGGGCGACATATTACCTTTTTATAATATATCGCATAGGTAGGATTTTCTTGTTTGTGTGTTTTGTGTATTTTGTTTGTTTTGGTGAAGGTATAAATAAAAAAATTGTTGTAATTCAAAGACTTTACGTATTTTCCAAATATATTTTGACAATTAATAAATGCTAATTAATAACAGAAGATGACTTATAACTGATAATGAAAGAGGACTTTAATACATTTATTATAAGTACGATTACAAAGAAATAATGAAAGTACTTTACTTTATAGATAAATAATAAAAATACATTGATACATGAAAAATGCATGAATGAATTAATGTAATAAGCTAACGACGTTAATGAGTATCGTAATAAAGAATGAATGACATCAATGAATGTACAAGAAGAAACTAGACAATCACTAGTAGTACTTTAATGCAAGGACAGTTGTTATTACGTGGTATTAGCCATTCAAAATCAGGCCGCATCATTTTGATTTTTCGTCTATGATTCTGGCTACCGCATTAGGAGAACTAGACTTCAGCGGAGCAGCTCTTCCCCTGAATTCTCTTAGTGACATGCCAGCCGTAACAATACATATGTATATATACATAAATACATACATAGGTATATATACACATAAATGCATATATATATATATATATATATATATATATATATATATATATATATATATATATATATATATATATATATATATATATATATATATATATATATATATATATATGTATATATATATATATATATATATATATATATATATATATATATATATATATGTATATATATATGTGTGTGTGTGTGTGTGTGTGTGTGTGTGTGTGCGTGCGTGCGTGCGTGCGTGCGTGTGTGTGTGTGTGCGTGCGTGCGCGTGTGCCTACATATATATACCTATATGCACCTCCCCGCTCCAACTATATCTGCAACTAAAAATAAGAAAAGGGAGAAAAGGGCAATCAATAAGACACCATCCAGTGAATCTCCGCCAATCAATAGGCTCGGCACCGCGACCGCCAGCAAGTCACAGCATCTGAGGACCACGTGACGCGACGCCAAGTTTTGTAATGATTTGTTTATATTCCCGGGGTAAAATCTCATCGTCCTCTCACCCACTCTCCTTCCCTGCCCCTTCCCCTGCCTCTAGCCCTTCCCCTTCCCCTACCTCTTCCCATGCTTCTACCCCTTCCCCTTCCCCTCTCTCCTATCCCACTTACCACCCGCGCTTCGTCCGCCCGTTACGTGAGAGAGATAAGAGTGAGTGTGAGAGTGGCGTTTGTGTGATAAAAGTGAGAGTGATGAAAGGCAGAAAAACGTTCCTCAGGCAGCAGGGCAAGGGGAAAAAGAAAACGTTAGAGAGAGAGAGAGAGAGAGAGAGAGAGAGAGAGAGACAGACAGACAGACAGACAGACAGACAGACAGACAGAGAGACGTGGATATACAAAGAAATGGCTGTCATGGTAGAATAGCAAAACAAATATTGTATTTCGAAGGGATATAGCTCAAAACCTTGATGATATACAAGGGAGCTTGGGACAGTAAACCAAGCAACAGCGAAATGGAGGAGGTGCTCGATAAAAGAAATAATGGTAATGATAAAAAATGAAAAACAAATCAAAGATAATACAAAAATAATATTATACACGATACATCAAAGAAATTTAGACATGAAGGTCCAGCACAAAATAACATACGACGGATTAAACGCCAGAATGACGAGAGGGTTGGCAGGATGCGTGGACGTGAGTAGCATAGCATGATAAGCAGAGTAAGGTTGACAGCCTAGCGGCCTCGCGGAGAGCGTAACGCCCCCTGTTTGCCTCCACGAATGACAAGCGCAATTTCCAGGAGGTCATGTCTGAAATACAGGTATGATCCTGGAAGCGGATTAGGTCTTTTGTCAAGTATAAAATCGCGAATGGTTATGATATTTCGGAATGATTTTCATGTTGATAAAGAAGAACACAGTGTGTCATACCTTGCGTTACCCATGTTTACGAGTCATTGAGTCCTTCTATATCATTCCAAAGATAACACGGCAATGATCTACACACGTGGTGAAGATAAGATAAAAAAGAGTACAGTTGTTTTGTGTGAAATTGGTGCTAAGCTAGCTTTTATCAATTAACGGAAAACAATTTCTGACTGAGACACAGTTTCCTGGGATATTTTCAGAGCATAACATACTGCGGACGTATAAATAAAAGACATATTTACTGTAAACACTTCCGCATTGCATCTCGGGTGAGTCGCGTTGCGTCACTCAAGTTCTATTCTGCTTCCCTCGCATTTTCTTGGCAAAGGACGCGACAGCCTTGAAGGAACGGACGCAAATGTGCCACGATAAGCGCCGGGGAATGTGGTGATGCCGTCCGTGGGAAGAGTGGCGCATCCCGGCGGCTGTGATGGTCAGGTCGTCATATCAGGTGACCCTCTGTGGTAATGGGTCAGGTCGAAATGGACAGCTAGTCCTTGTGCGGGAGTGCGTCAAGCCGCCGAGTCATATGACCTCATGTGCCAGTGGGTCAGGTCGAAAAGGACAGCTAGTTCTAGTATGAGAGCTAGTCAGGTCGCCGTGTCAGGTGACTCCATTTGACTAGTCCTTGTGCGGGACAGAGTTAGGTCCCAATGACAGGTCGAACAAGACAGCTAGTATGAGTGAGTCAGGTCGCCTTTTCAACTGATCGTCATCTTGGGGTGGCTCAGGTCACCGTCAGAGTCAGGTCATCGAGTCAACTCACTGTATCAGCCACTGGATAAAAAGTCAACTCACCAATCCTAATCGCTGGGTGGCATTTAGTCAGTTGAATGAAATGAGAGGAAGGAGTGGCAAGCATATGCCAAGGGGAGGCTGTCGAAATGAAGGGAGGAAACGAGAGAGATGATGAAAGAACAGGAAATAGTTGAGAGAAGAAAGAGAAAGGTGAAGAGAGATGGGGGAGATGGGAGAGAGAGAGAGAGAGGAAGAGAGATAAAAAGAGACACTTTTTTATAATTAAGATAACTGTATCTTTTTTCAGAGAATAAGAAAAAAAAAGATAATTTGACACCAAAATGATATATACAAAGGAAAGCTGCTATCAACTTGGTTTCTAGTATCTGTGACACTATCAGTCACAACATAGTGTTTTGAAAGCAGGATTAACAAATGTTCCTTAAAATTATCACATTTTTGCCACATTTACATAACACATATTTTTTTCGTTTGTCAAAACATTTCGATAACTTTGATAAGTAACAGTGAAATTAGGGTTCTGTGCATGATAGACCATAATAAACAAATATGTCGCCTCCAATGTCTTACTAAAGACAGCTCCACGCGCGCAATGGAGATGATATTAGAAGTTAGTACTTATGGTGTTCACTTAGGTAAATAAAGTCCATAGCATTGCAGAAGAAAAATATAAGGATAGAGATAGATAGCGGATGAGGATGAGGAGGAAGAGGATGAGATAGATGAGGAGGAGGAGGAGGAGGAGGAGGAGGAGGAGGAGGAGGAAGAGGGGGAGGAGGAGAAAGAAGAAGAAGAAGAAGAAGAGGAGGAGGAGGAGATGACGGAGGAGGAGGAAGAGGATGAGGGAGGAAGAAGAGGAGGAGAAGGAGGAGGAGGAGGAGGAGGAAGAAGAAGAAAAAAAAAGAAGTGAAGAAGAGGAAGAAAGATGAAGAAGAAGAAGAAGAAGAAGAGGAATAGGAGCAATAAGAGAGGCAGATAAAATGGGAGAATTTGGAGGAGAGTGCGATTGAGGAAAAGGAAAATAGTAAGAGAAGAAAAAGAATTAATTGCATTACGATTCTTCCGCTGCTGCTCCGCGCCGGGACGCAACGCACTCGCAGTGCAGCGAGAATGCTGATAAATGAATAAAAGAAAGAAAAAAGAGGAAAAAATAGAGCAAGAGGGAAACGGATCACTGAACTGACAGAAATAAAGGTTTCAACATTCCAGTTGACCTTCGGCTAAACTGTAGCGAGGAGGCAAAGTGAAACTACAAAGGAGAGAGAAATTAAAATCGGTTGTCACTATCGTATTTTCTTTTTTTTTTGGCGACTACATAAAATCGTTCACGCATGTATCTAAATATTTCGAGCCTGTTGGAGATAGTGAATTAGCACATTTGAATAAGGAACAGTTCAACGAAACTAATGGAAATTCAGCTGGCATAATAAATCGAGTCTTCGCTCTTCCTGGAATATACAAGTTTCGCTCACTCTGAAAGAGCATTTTAGAAACGACAGCATGTATCCACCACAAGGAAAGACGCGAGGATTGTACGTGATGGATGCAAAGATTGATATTTATAATGAGAACAATGAGAAGCTTCCGTCGAGGAAAGAAATAAGTCCTGCGAAATCCTTCGAGGTCGCGAGCGTTCTGGTAGGTTAAGTCACTCGTTGGCATCTCAACACGGTGAGTCATATCCATTTATGCTCGATATTCGTGAAGGCATTTGTTAAAGCTCATACAAAGTACAAGACTAATATACAAAGATCCTGGTAGCTAATGGATAATAAGTCATACACCAACAGAGCGTAAGAGGAATGAAAACGGAGCGAAACGGTTGGCGACGTGTGGCATGGAGCGAGCGGCGGGCGTCGGGCGAG